CCTGGCTGCTCTTCCCCTCCAGCAGCTCCTCCCCAAGCCACCAACGCAGAGAGGGGGCCGGGCTGGCTTGGGAGGAGCAGCTGCAGTGCAGACCCTCAGCCTCCCAGGAGCAGGAGGGGCCCAACAGCTGTGGGGGGTCTGTGGGATGGAGGACAGGACTCAGCAGGGGCCCCTTCCTGGGACCCAGATGTCCCCTTTCCCTCACTCACGGTGCACGGAGAGGCTGAGAGAGATGTGCTGGGAGCCCAGCGGGTGCTGAGCATGGCAGGTGAACTCTCCTTCATGCTCCATTTGAACCCGAGGCAGCTCCAGGACCCCGGGGTCTGAGGGCTGGGAGGGGCCCACGGTCTGTCCCCCCTGGGTCCAGCTCAGCCTGGCTGGGGGGCTGCTGTGGGTGACACAGACCAGGTGCAGGCTTTGGCCCTCCAGGACTGGGAGGGACGTGCCGTTCCCGAGGTTTTCCAGGACTAGGGAAGGAAGGGGCAGAATCGACGTGCAGCTCAGGGCTCAGGGCTCAGGGACCCTCCTGCATGGGGACCCTTCAGATGCCTGGGCCCCCAATTTGGCACTGAGAGGCCCTGGCTCCTCTGTCCCCTTTCCTACCTGTCCTGTTTGCTTGGGAAACCATCACTCTCAGGTTCTCTGGAGGATCTGAAATGGAGAGAGGGGACCGGCTCTAGATGGGCCAGGGGCTTCTCTCTGGGTAAAGGGAAGCGTCCTGGAGACTGAGGTGGGGGAAGTGGGTGGGATAGAAGGGCAGTGCAGAATCACCCACTGAGTCCCAGACACAAACTGCATGAGGGTCTACACAGGTAAGAATATCAGTCCCCGGCCAGGCGAGGTGGCTCATGCCCAGCACTTTCGGAGGCTGGTGCAGGCGGATCACGAGGTCAGGAGATCGAGACCATCCTGGCTAACATGGTGAAATCCCGTCTCTACTAAAAATACAAAAAATCAGCCAGGAGTGGTGGTGGGCGCCTGTAGTCCCAGCTACTGGGGAGGCTGAGGCAGGAGAATGGCGTGAACCTGGGAGGCGGAGCTTGCAGTGAGCTGAGATCATGCCACTGCACTCCAGCCCGAGAGACAGAGCAAGACTCTGTCTCAAAAAAACACCAAAAAAAAGAATGTCAGTCCCTGAGACCTGGCGCTCTAGACCCCCTCAGCTCTGGGACCCTGAGCCCAGTCCCTGCATCCCCACCCGTTCTGCCCTCCCGATGGACCCCAGGCCCCTGCTGGGCACACTCACACTGCACAGAGAGGTCCAGGGCTCGCTGCTGGGAGCCAAGCCTGTTCTCCGCTCGGCAGGTGTAGCGCCCTGAATCCCCGGCCTTCACCCCAGGCAGCTCCAGCCCCAGGGTTCTGGGGCCCCAGGGGTGGGACAAGGAGAGGACTCTGTCCTGCAGGACCCAGCTCAGCATGGCGGGGGGCTGGCTGTCAGCAGCACAGAGGAGCCGCAGGAACTGGCCCTTCTGGGCTTCCAGATGTGTGAGATTTTCCTGGGGTTTCAGGGCTGAACCGAAAGAGAGAGAGAGAGAGAGAGAGAAAGAGAGAGGCTACAGGGAGGAGCATATCCCCTCACCTTCATGAAAATTTTTCATCTCCTAAAGAGGACTGGCCCAGCCCCAGCCCCACGGCCCTCAGTACCTGACGTGTTGTCACACGAAATGCTGATAACAAGGTCTCTGGGGGCGTCTGCAACAACATTGTGAGCTGGCTTCAGGGAGGGCCAGTTTGTTCCTCCCACCTGGAAAAAACTCCCTCCAGGAAAAGAAAGTGGGAACATCCCAGGAAAGATAAGTGACAACCAGAGCCGGGACTGACGGGTGTGGACAGAGGACCAGACGCCATTCCCATCCCCTCCCAGGGCTGAGCCCGCATCCTGGGACCCCACGGCTTCCTCTCCCTGGACGCTCCTGAGCTGGCAGCCGCTCACTGCCCTACTGGACTCCTCCCCCTCCTCACCCACCGGGTCTGTCTGCACGCCCCAGCGTCCCAGGCCACACTCACAGGCCACGCGGAGTCGGACGGTCCTCTGTGCGCTCACACCCTTTCTGGAGAAGTCCACGTGGCAGGTGAGGTCGGTGTCGTCGTCCTGGGGGCTGGGCGTGAAGCTGAGCAC